AAAAAAAAAAAAAAAGGAGAGAGCATCTCGTCGCGTGGCTAAGCCAAGGCCGTGATGCCTTGGCCATGGCCGAGATTTGAAAAAAAAAAAAAAAGGCCACATACAGGACTGGACTGGAGTTGCAAACTCGGCCTTGCGACTTTTCTGCATGTCAAGAGTTTCGACTGGATTTGAAACTTGGGACCGTACTGCACTCCAAAACGGCAGTTCGAAATGCATTTACAAACTGCTTTCGTGACTGCGCCCTAGTTACCCCTAAAATATATTACCCAAAAAAGTAAGGAAATCTTTGTTCCCCTCCTCCTCTCCTTAACACTGGGCATGCCCGTGCAAAGAAAGCTTCCCGCCAGAATCTTTTCCTCTTTTTTTTTTTTTTGCAAACTTCAAGAGCAGGAAGTCCACTTGACGAGGTGATAAGAGCATCCTCATCAAGTGACCCCTGCGGCGAAGGCTCCATCTATTGGTGGGGAGCAGCAACTGCTGGAAATCGGGTCCAGCGTCCCTGTTAAATGATTTGATGAAATGGAAATCGTGTAGATAGGCCACGTGGCCATCCCAATATAAACCAATCATGACTGTATATATCCTTTATGCAGAGGCATTGATTACTCCCCCATACCAGGGGAGGATTAACCTGCTGCTCTTATAACCCTAATGCATCACAAATTACGTGAGGGGACCACGCCACGTGTCAATTCATTATTAGTGTAGGGGGCAGGAAGCCCATGGTCTCTTGCCCACCTTAACCACCAGCCTTCGTAACCACAAACCTATCTAGCCTATCAAAGTACCCGGTAATTAGGGATGAAGGGCCGACAATCCCCTTAAACCATTACTTAATAGCTAACCCACCCCTATCCGAAGGATGACAAAAGACCAGAAACAACATAGAATTCGTGAAAACCTAACAAAATAAATTGTTAGGTTTGCACGAAAATTTTTAAAGATTCTGATAATACTTTTTTCAGGCCTCCTACATGAACAAAATTTTATGTGAAGTAAGTTAACCGCAAAAAAGGAATAGAAAACTACTTTTTCAGAACCACTAGAAGTAATGAGGAGAAAAGTAAGTTTTTTTACAAAAAATCAGTACCTTGCAAAGCACCGTTAATTCAGGAACTGAAATATCACAATATTTTGTTTAACTAAAAAAATCATATTTATAGTTCTGTAAGGTATGTAGCACGACGAACCTATTCGGGGGTTTCCTTAACATTCACATATGCTCTCCTATTCACGAAAACATTCGCTTGGATATGTTCTCTCATACATGGACAAATTTCCTTTTTTAATTTTAAATCATCGTTGTCTAGGAATTTGAAGATGTCCCCAGGCAAAAGTTGTTTTAATTCTTCTTTTACACAACATATATTTTTTGACAAGGGTTTTACAGTTAACTTAAGCATGAAGTTATATTAATTTATAGTTCTATAAACTCAATTTCGCAGAATTTGGTGTTTTTAAATATTTTTTTATTTTTTAATTTTAAATCATCGTTGGCTAGGAATTTGAAGATGTCTCCCAGGCAAAAGTTGTTTTAATTTTTTTTTTACATAACATATAGTTTTTGACAAAGGTTTTACAGTTAACTTAAAAATGAAGTTATATTAATTTACAGTTCTATAAACTCGATTTCGCAGAATCTGGTTTTTACCAAACTGCTGAAAACGACTTATAGTTCTGTAAATGAGTATTCACTGAAATTATTTTTTTGTCGCCTTCTAGTCGTTAAAGATTGTCTTGTTTGAGTTATGTTTTTTGTCAATCTACTGAGAACGACTTATAGTCCTATAACATGCTCTTTGCTGGAAAGGATTTTCTTGCACATTTTGAGAATCGCTAGACTTTTTGCCTGTTTTTTTGCCTTCTTTCTTGGGAAACAGTTAAAAACGCTCTATTTTATATGTCAAAAATAACAGTTTGACTTTTACTTTTCCATTCTATAAAAAATGTTCGGTTTTGTGGTTTTGTGGTTTTGTGGTTTTGTGGTTTTGTTAGGTTTTCACGAATTCGGTTTTCGCAGCCGTTCACGAGCTTCGCGCGTGTGCTCTCTGCTCAGCACAGAAATATTGGCGAGATACTCTTTTTAAAGAAGCAACAATTGTGGAGATTTATTTCAAAGCGATTCAGGTCATTTTCCAAAGATTTGTCCTTTAGGCGTTTCTAAGACCTCGGTTTCAAAATAGCAATTTCGAGTACTTCTTGGCTCGTTCTTGCGGGTTAGAAACGGTGTGACCATTCGTCTTTTTTTCTCGTCTTTGTGCGTCACAGTTTATAGAAATGTAAACAGATTGAAGAATTCCGAAGCTGAGATGGTTTTTTGCGTTTCAATTTATAGGACTATAAATACACAAATGTCAAGATGTTTGGCTTCGGTACAAGGGCGCGCATTTTCAAAGTGCTTCTTTGTTTTCTTTTTTCTTGCATGTTTGTGCGTCACAGTTTATAGAACTATAAACGGAATGGAGAATTTCGAAGATGACATGGTTTTTTGCTTTCCAATTTATAGGACTATAAATACGCAAATGTCAAGATGTCTGGCTTCGGTACAAGGACGCACATTTTCGGAGTGTTTCTTTATTTTCTTTTTTCTCGCATGTTTGTGCGTCACGGTTTATAGAACTATAGACCGAATGGAGAATTCCGAAGCTGACATGGTTTTTTGCTTTCCAATTTATAGGACTATAAATACGCAAATGTTAAAATGTCTGACTTCGGTACAAGGGCGCACATTTTCGGAGTGCTTCTTTGTTTTCTTTTTTTCTATGTGTGTCTTTGCCGCTTGCTTCATAGAACTACAAACAGAATTTTGGATGCCTGAACTGCATCTGTTTTCTGCTTCTTTAATGAAAGGACTCCAAAGGTGCATATGCCAAGACGTCCTACTTTCATACAACGCAATACATTTTGGAGTGACCGTTATCCTGCCTGGGTTTTCTTAACTTTCCTCTAAGTTTGTAAGTGGTATCTAGTGTTGTGGAATGAATTGTCATATTTGCGCGGTTTCAGCAGAGCAAAAAATTCATTTCTCGACTACGAGCGGCTTTTGGGATCACTTGTTGACCTGCTTTTGTATGTGATAAAATGAGGTTTCGTGGACAAACTTTCGTCTCACTAATCACCTTCTCCTAACAGGAGCCTTGATTTGGTATGTTTTTCATCATTAGGTGTGACATACAACGTGTAAAAGTTGCACCAGCGGAGTGAAAATGAGTGGAAAATTTTTGGTTTTCTTGGGTCTATAAAGATTGTTTGGTTTTCTACGTTTGTTTGGTTTTCACGAATACTATGTTAAACGAAATTTAAAGAAACCCCCCTAGAAATGGGGGGAGAATCGAGGAGGCGGACCCACAACCCATGCCAGTGTGAGTAACAATACCACCATCAGTAGAGGCAGTATAGTAATGTCAATAATCGTTGTCAGCTCCGTCAACATCATTGGAGTTATAATTGCGGTTGTAGTTGATAAAGCCGTCATCATGAATGGTGATATTAAGGGGCTCGTTAAACACTCCTCGGGGCATCCTCGGGGCCAGAGGATCTTTCCTTTACGTCGGCCGAGGAATTTCCCGCCGTCGTTGCACCAGGTCCTCGGGTCGATTTCCCGAGGATGCTCCGAGGAGGGGCCGCGGGGATGATCATAATAAAATACGCGGCTGCGGGGCGGGGCAGTGGGCGGCGGTCCATGATGTGATGTCTCGGTGGTTGGGCTTGGTCCACCACCAGGCGGCGGGAGATTTCAAAATTCGGTGGAGGGGTCGAAGAAAAGAAACACGCGCGCGGTGGCCTCCGGTTTCAAAATTTGAATTTCAAAACTGGGTGGCGTGGCATAGGAGTATCGGGTGGGGCCTGCGGCGGGCCGTGGGCAATGTCATCGTGGAACCACATCCTTCAACGACGGCGGGCCTGGGGCGGCGCGTGGACGACCGTTCCACCATCACAGTTGAGACAAGGAAAGTGGAGAAGACGTCATCACGGAGCTTGTCCTCGCGTCAGTGCGCGGATAATCAAGTAGTGTCCTGCGAGTTCTCACAGCGTCCTTCGTCGCACCATCCCTGTGGTCGTCACGCATCGCGTTTCCGTCGTGTGTTGGCGTGCCACCGAAATCTGTTGGCCGTTGTTGAAGGTGATGTCTTCTGCACCCTGTGCGGCAATGGGCAATGTCGCCAACGACGACCGTTCGAAGCTGTCAACAACCGAAAGGGTGGCGGTTGCCGCGACCGTTACCGTTGTGCTTATGCGCTGCCAGATGGAAGGCAGTGCAGGGAGATTGAAGGCGCAGCTTCGCACACGGAGGAGGAAGGCGATGCAGGCACTGCCGGTTGTAGGACTGGACACCGCTGCCATCTGCAACGCCGTCTTCCAGGTGTGTTGCACCATGGGTTTTGGCGGTATGCCTAGAGCCACGCCCATGTGGTGGGTGAAGAGGAGGACGGGGGGGGCGTGGGAGGATCTGCAGCCTGCGGATGACGCCACAGAAGAGTACTTCCGCGATAAGCTGCGTATGTCGCCACGTGTCTTCCGCGAGATAATGGAAAACTTGTCGCCATTTCTGCAGCGCAGTGTGACGTTCTACAGGGAGCCGTTTCAGCCAGACCACATCGTGGCGTACACATTGTACAGATGGACGTCCGGGGAGACGTACGAGAGCAGCACGTGCAACGTCGGTATTGGCAGAGCTACGGGTGTGGTGGCAGTGCGGGACGTCATTGCGGTGCTGCTGGCGGTGTACAGGGAAAAGGTGTCGTGGCCGACTGGGGTGTGAAAGGCGGTCGTTCTGCGTGCTCTCACTGACAAGGGGTTCCCTAACTGCCACGACTGTATCGACTGCACGTATATGTACATCGACAAGCCGGCGAACGCACTTGCTGAAGACTACTTCAACAGGAAATGACATTTCTCAGTCGTCGCGCAGGTCGTTGTCGATCTCGACTTACGTGTGCTGGACGTTTTCGTTGGATATCCGGGAAGCTGTCATGACATCAGGGTCATTCACCTCTCTAGTCTTTGGGCGCGCGCGGAGGCCGGGGAGCTGTTCACGGGGCCGCCTGTGATGCTCTCCTTCCAAGTGCAGACAAGTGGCTATCTGCTAGGTGACAATGGGTACCCGCCCTCAGAATGGATAGTCATTCCCTATGGCGGAACCAGTCAGCAATCGTCCCAGTTGCGGTTCGACAACAAGCAGAAGACCACGAGGGGGGCATTGGAGAGGGCTTTCGAGAGGCTGAAGGGTATGTGGAGGTTGTTCCTGCGATCACACAAGACGAATATGGAGAAGTTGCCGCAACAGTTCGTCACCATGTGCATTTTGCACAACATTCTCATCGATGTCGGCATCCCCTTCGACGACAATTTGGTTTGGGAGGTGGACGCCAACGGAGTTCGGCGGCGTGTGGATCTGGGAATCCAACGCCCCCCGGGTCCGCCCGTGTGCATGGACAGTTCGGCGGGGGATGCGTTGATTCTAAGGGATGCGCTGGCGGAGCGGATGAGTGCCCGTTGATGATGGTCGGCGGTAGATGTCCACGTCGCACCCGCAACATAGGTGGACGACGCGAGTTCTGAGAGCGGGAGAGTGGCCAGTGGAGAGGATTCGACTTCCTTGTGTTTTGTGCTGGCTTCGTTGTGTCGTCACGTTGAGTCTCGGATGGAGTCTGCGGTTCTCCGTAGATGAGTTGTTAGTTAGCAGATTATGAGTTGGTTGTTTTTCGAGTGTTCGTTATCGATGTATACGTCACTAACGTTAGTACCAGTGATGTTGCAGTCCTAGCCAGTCGAGTTGGGGTGTTGACACGTCGCAGTCGATTTTTGGGCGCAGTAGTCTGATGGTGTTCTTACAATTCCGTCGGTGTTATTATGCAGATGCAGACATGCGTTGAGGTTTCCCTTCCCCACAGTTTTTTTTTTTTTTTTTAACTGGGCTTCACGCCCGTCGCTCGCTTCTGTTCAGTCCGCAATACGTTCACAATGGATTTGGTGATGTACTTTTTGGGAGGTGAACATTCGTCTTCTTCGCGAGTACGTGTGTGTCTTTGGTGCACCTGTGTTTGACTTTCTTCCAACGGTGTGCATGCAATCATTGTGAGTGGATGTATGTGTGTGACAGGTGCGCCTGTGTTTCGTTTCGTTTCGACATACTGCATGCAACCATTTTGACGATAGGTTGATATTGAATGACGACAGGTGTTCAAATGTTTGAGTCCATGCATGCAATGCACAAAAAAATGATAACAAACAACAAAAACGAAGTCATTTAAAAATCCACTCCATGCATGCAACAAGATCGAAGTAATAAACAATGAAAAACGAGAGGCTAACCACGCCATCATTTCAGGAAAAGGTCGTCTACGAATGCAAGATTGGGAAAACGACACACCAGGGACGCACCACACTGGCGGTATTAAACACCATCAATTTCACATACAAAGGTGATCGCCGTTTCGCCAGCAATCACCTACAGTACTGCGTTCCGTTAACAAGTTGCATTAGTCGTACCAAAAGATGAAGGCAATGTGGAACTCCCACCATCTTTCCCGTCTGCAACCCCGCTGACCAGGCAAAAGCATCGCCTCACACGACAATGAACGATGGCGCACTACAAGACGATGACACTAACGGGTAGCCATCACCACTTAGATGACGATCCACAGCCTTCCCGCCGTGCACAACACACAAGCACTCTACCCCCGCGGACCCGCCCGCCAACACGACGACCCACATCATATCCACAACAAGAAAAAACATAGCCAACCCGCCGCCATCATTTCCCCCCGTCCTTTCGTTGTCGTCATCTCGCCTCGTGCAACGTGAATCGATATCCGCTCGCACGCACGACCATGTTGCCATCCAGTCGCCACGTGCCACGCACCACACAATGAAGCAAACACCCTGACCATCGACAAGACGATCCACAACCTATCGGCGAGACGACGATCCACAACCTATCGGCGAGACGACGATCCACAGGCCACCCGCCACCATTATTTCTCGTCGTCCTTCCGCCGCCTTCGTCTCGCCACGTCTTCAACCGTCGTCACCGCGTGTTGTGCTTGGTCTTTGGCATCTTCATCATCCTCATCTTCCCACCGTCCTTCCGTGGCCACGTCATCTTTTTCGTCTCGCCACATCCTTACCGTCGCCGTCGTCTTTCCACGTGCCACGCACGCGAATCAATCGCCGTCCTCATGTTCAGTCGCCTTCTCCTCCTCATCTCGTTCGTCCTCCGGGGGTCCAGTCCCCAACCAGTCCAGGCGTTTGGCATGTGTAGGCGAGGGTAAAGTGGCGTCATGCTGGAAGGATACGCCGCATGATGCCCAGTCGGGGATGTATCGGGGAGGGTCCACCAACATCATGGCGGGTTCTACCATCCGCTCAGTGACGACGGTGGCTGCCTGAATGATGTGACGGCGCTCATCGAACAACAAATGCATTGACGCAACGAGTGTGGGCTTCGCTATGAGCTGGACGAACAGGGATGCGTCGAAGTGGGCACGGAGATCATCCCAACCATTTGCATAAGCCACATCGCAGCTGCAACCAGGTCCGTAGTTGGAATGGAGACAGGCACGTAGATTTGTGAGGCGTTCCTCGATGGATAGCCAAAATGTGGTCCACGATATCGGGCCAGGGCCTCGTGTCTCGGGCCGTGATGTTTCGTCAGAGGGCCGTCTTGATCACTCAATTTGTGTTTTCTACCAGTCTGGGAGCAATGTTCTGAATGGAGACGCTGTGTACGACCATGCTTCTCAAAACCTCCCCTCAGAATTCTGCTCCGTTGTCCGTCAAGATTTCCTCGGTGTCCTGATGCATCCCCAAAAAACCGGTTGACGTACTACACGATTTCCAACTTCTATCTGGTTCTACACAGGTAGGCCTCGATCCATTTGGAAAAGTGATCTACCAATACTAGTAAGATCGAATATTCGCAACTATTAGGACCAGGGGGGACCACAATGACCTTCGGAAATGGTTGTTCGACTACTGTTGGTGTTATCGTCCTGGGCGGTTGAACTGGCGCCTTATCAGATGCGCAGACAGGACAATTTTTTACAATGAATTTAACGTCGTCCCTGATATTGGACCAATACCATTCATTTTTGCCGATGGGTGACTCCGCAATCCTGATAGCGAAATGCGCGGCGGTCTCTTCATGGGTCGACCTTACCCAATCATATCTCATGAACGGGTGAGGTACGAACATCCAGATCCCACTCCCATCCGCCTTTCGCTTTTCTAAACGTCCTTCGTTCCATCTATAATCTCGAGCCCTTTAGTTGGCTCGTCACCGATTCTAACTATGGGGGCTATGAGAACGACATTTGTCCACACCTCCGCTCATCTAAACCATCGCATCTTCTCCATTCCCTCCACCGTAGCCTCGAGGAATCGAACTTCCGTCGGAATTTTGTCGGTACGGTAGAAGGGGCAGAGCCATGGTTTCTGTGGGTTGCTATATGTACAGGAACCGTGGGCCCCCGAGACGCACTTGCTGCAAAATCCCATTCTATGTAGCCCTCCCCTCGAGGGTGCATCGAAACCAAATGGACTCCTAAGATAGCTTCGCAAAAATAGCAGGATTGGTCGGGCAAGGAGAGATAAGACGAAGAGATGGGAAAGAGAGGGCCCACGGTATTATCTTCTCCGCTCGTCGTCATGAGGCCACGTGTCACTTTCGGGTTCCTCTAGGGAGGATGGTCACCCTCCCGTACGTTGGTCCCTTGGCCAGCTCTGACTCTTTCCATGGAGTGATCTCTTCCCCTTTGGCTACCTTGCCTGGTCAACACAGTCGTGTCAACCCGTCTGCGTTCCCGTGCTTCTCAGTTCTTCGACATCATTCTGTAGTCGTACGGCCTATCTTCCAATCATCCATGTGTAGTTGGTGAGTCTTTTGAGCGCCAATAGCGGCTCGTAGTCCGTAATGACGAGGAACTTCTGCCTGTACAACTCTGCCTGTATAAATACGGATGGAAATGCTGAATTTCCCAGATGACTGCGTAGCACTCTCCTTGAGGGGCCGAATCGTTCCGTCGTTCGTCCGGTATCGTTCGCGAGGCGTACTCAATGATATATTCCCTGCCGTCCTTTCCCTTATGTGCTAAAATGACATAGATCGCCTTGGGCTGCCAGTCCGTGATGAGCATGAACTGCTTTCTTGGGTTTGGCCGAATTAAAATGGGCGCGGAGGCCAGGGCCTCTTTCAGAGTGGAAAAGGCCCACTCACATTCCTCGTTCCATTTTAACGGCTGGTCCTTTCTCAACAGTTTCGTTAGAGGCCGTGCGATTGCTGCGAATCCCTTGATGAATCGCCAGTAGTATGAGGTCAGGCCCAAGAAGGCTCGAACCTGTGTCAGCGTCGTTGGCATAGGTGCTTGTCGAACCGCTTCCACCTTTCGCGAGTCAAGTCTCAGTCCTCCTCGGGTTACCACCTACCTGAGGAATGAAATTTCTAAGACGAAGAGTCTTTTCCAAGACGATTTTAAACCTGGCATCCTGTAAGGCTCCAAGTGTCCACTTGATGTGTTGTGCATGTCCGTGAAACGATTCCGAGTACACCAATATGTCGTCCATGTGCACGATGACGCAAAAGTTGACCATCCCTTGTGTCAACCGAGTCTTGTTAACGAAATTCTGAAACGAAACGTTCATAGCTCTTTGAAAAGTAGTCGGAACGTAGCATATTCCCATGGGACATCGGACCCATAGCCATGTGCCTTGAAACAGTACAAACGCCGTCTTCGACCGATCCTCCTCTTTGACCAGAATGTGATGAAACATGTGGCGAATATCAAACTTACTGAAATAATTAGCACACCCAATCGCATC